CTTAATCAAAGGGCAGGACTTTCTATTTACGAATGTATCATTCGCCCGTCGGCGGTTTTCAGAGTTACCTGGAATGACAGAAACAGGGTATTGGAGTCCGGCTCAGAAGGACCAAGCTGTTATGTGAATTATTTAACAAACTATTTTAGTGTCTCTGTGCGTCTCCCAAAAGGTTGTAAGTCTTTTGGGATTTAAGTAACGGCCAGAGTCCCGGTCTGCATAGTCAGAGATATTTATTCATTGAGAATTCTGCCATCACAATTTCAGAGTCCATCTTTTATACTCATATTTCATACAAAAAGAAATCCCTCCCCTCTGTAGGCGGGCTGTAGTTTTCCACTCTAAAACTGCTCTACTGACCTTCAGTTCACACACACACACATATACACACATGCATACACACATACATACACACACACACACATATCCTGCTCCCTGCATTACTCAGTTATTGCCGTTCTCACAATATTCTGCACCATGTTTTCATAACAGTTTCTCCCCTCCCTAAATTGGGAGGCCTCTTTATCTTAGTTTCTCAGTTGTCTTTGTTGTCTGGCCTAACTTTACTCACATGCTAAATAGTGGCTCAATGCCAAGCCTTTACTGGTCCTACACTCACACATTTCTAACACAGTATACACCGTTTCAGGGTGTAATAATTAGTCATTAATAATTAATCTATCAGGTAGAGAGAAGGAAGGGAGGAGAGAGAAGGAAGGGAGGAGAGAGAAGGAAGGGAGGAGAGAGAAGGAAGGAAGGAAGGGAAAAGGAAGGGATAGCGAAGGAAGGAAGGGAGAAGGAAGGGAGAAGGAAGGGGAGAGAGAGAAGGAAGGAAGGGAGAAGGAAGGGAGAGAGAAGGAAGGAAGGGAGAAGGAAGGGAGAAGGAAGGGAGAGAGAAGGACAGAAGTGAGAGAGAAGGAAGGGAGAAGGAAGGGAGAAGGAAGTGAGAGAGAAGGGAGGAAGGAAGGGAGAGAGAAGGAAGGAAAAAGAGGGAGAGGGAAAGAGAGAATATTTGGCTTCACTTTGCGATATGATGCAAGACGATGCAACATTATACAATATGATACGATATGAAAGAGGTTGATAATCATCATCGTTAGCATGATCATCATCGTCATCACCTGTGCTGTAGATTTTGAAATGGGTCAACTTTCTGCATGATTCCCTTGAACATTCCAGGGTTGATTGTCTCAAGCAGACAGCCAGCACTGGAAGACGGATCACTGTGTATGGACTGAGTCTCCTTTGACGTGGGAAGAGGGAGGGAAGAAGGGTATTTGAATTGAATATTTACCATGACTAGGAATTAGGTGTACAGGGTGACCAAGTACGTTTCTGGAGACTATTGCAACCATTTAAAATCATCATCATCATCATCACCACCATCCTGATTGAAGGCACACTTAACCAGCATGGCTACCACAGCATTCTGCAGTGATACGCCATCCCATCTGGTTTGGGCTTAGTGGGACTATCATTTGTTTTTCAACAGGACAATGACCCAACACACCGCCAGGCTGTGTAAGGGCTATTCTTCCAAGAAGGAGAGTGATGGAGTGCTGCATCAGATGACCTGGCCTCCACAATCCCCCGACCTCAACCCAATTGAGATGGTTTGGGATGAGTCGGACGGCAGAGTGAAGGAAAAGCAGCAAACATGCTAAGCACATGTGGGAACTCCTTCAAGACTGTTGGAAAACCATTCCAGGTGAAGCTGGTTGAGAGAATGCCAAGAATGTGCAAAGCTGTCATCAAGGCAAAGGGTGGCTATTTGAAGAATCTCAAATATAAAATATATTTTGATTTGTTTAACAATTTTTTGGTTACTACATGATTCCATGTGTTTTATTTCATAGTTTTGATGTCTTCACTATCATTCTACAATGTAGAAAATAGTACAAATAAAGAAAAACCCTTGAATGAGTAGGTGTGTCCAAACTTTTACATTTACATTTTAGTCATTTAGCAGACGCTCTTATCCAGAGCGACTTACAGGAGCAATTAGGGTTAAGTGCCTTGCTTAAGGGCACATCGACAGATTTTTCACCTAGTCGGCTCGGGGATTAGAACCAGCGACCTTTCGGTTACTGGCACAACGCTCTTACCCACTAAGCTACCTGCCGCCCCTTTTGACTGGTACTGCATGTAAATTAGGTATTTCTGGGGGGTTTCTTGTAATACATTTGCAAGAATTTCTAAAACCTGTTTTTGCTATGTCATTATGGAGTGTTTGCATTTATTTGGAATCACCATTAGCTTCTGCCAAGGCAGCAGCTGCTCTTCCTGGGGTCCAAACACATTAAAGCACTTACATTACATATAAAACAAAAGATAAACAGTGCATAAAATAATATTATTACACCACTACATATCTAAAATACAAAATGTATAATGCAAAATGTATAATACCACCATACAACAATATTACAATGTATGCGTTTGCATGTATCTGTACCTTTGTCTGTGTCTCTTCACAGTCCCCGCTGTTCCATAAGTTGTATTTTTTCCTGTTTTTGAAAATCTGATTCTACTCCTTGCATCAGTTACCTG